GGTGGGGGGGTGGTCGGTGTGAGTGATGTTTTGGGCAGGAGTTGGGTAAGAGCAGAGACTCACTCACCTAGTTCCTGGGTCGGTTGGCGGAAAGGGATGGCCCCTCGTTATATTTTTATGTGTTTCTATTAACAAAATCACAGATATTAAAGAGCCAAAACAAAGTGAAGATTCCCCCCCCTTAGGAAAATGTTTATTCAACATTTACCACACACCATTTTACATCCATCGTCTCACACCCCAGTCCCACACCTTTAAGGTGTATAATATGGACACTATTATCTTTTAAAAGATGAGGTTACTCAGCTTTTCTAGGGTTGTCAGAGTCCTAGGTTCAGTCGACAGCATCTGAAACAAAAACCTGAAAAGCAAGACTCCTGAGGCACCTCCCAAGTTTTCTATCTGTTGCAGTGATAGACATCACTACCAAAAGCAGCTTGGGAAAGAAAGGGTTTATTTTATCTTACCGATTACAACCCATCACTGAGAAATCACCAGAGGAACTTGTTGTAGATCACAAGAAGGAATGCTTGCTTACACAGCCCATGCTCTCCTGTTTAGGGATGACACTGACCTCTCAATAGGCTGTGCCCTCCTTCATCACCAGGAAAACAGCTGTGTCCACAGCCCAATACACTGCAGGCAATCCTTCAGCTGAGGCTCTCCCTCCCCACTGTGTGAAGCTGACAATCAACCATTACAGGGGCTGGAGAGATGGCTCAGTACTTAAGAGCACTTTCTGCTCTTCCAGAGGACCAGAGTTTAATTCTCAGCAACCACATGGTGGCTTATGAACAATGTCTGCTGGACCAATACCATCTCCCCTCTGTTTGGCCATCTCTCATGTACCATCTAACATAATCCTCCAGTACCATTACCAGTCTCTAGCAGTCACTGTGCCTGTGCAGGTGGCTCTAGCTGCATCTGTTGCTCACCAGGCCTTACCTTGGGAGGGGCAAGTCCTGAGATTTGGGTGGGACAGGAGTGGGGATGGGGTGGGGGTAGAAAGGCAGAGGCCTGGTCAGATGTTCACTAAAGGAAGAGACACAGAAATCTATGTAGTCTTAAACCAGGCAATGAGACATTTTATTCCTAAATCCTGTTGACCAGGGAACCAGACATTAACCTGTCTACACCTGTGAGTCCTGTAATACAGAAGGCACAGGAGAAGATGTGCTATGTTTTTTTTTTTTTTTTTTTCTCCAGATAACGTTTCTCTGTGTAGCTTTGAAGCCTGTCCTGGAAAACTCTGTAGACCAGGCTGGTCTCGAACTCAGAGACATCTGCCTGCTCTGCCTCCAAAGCACTAGCATTAAAGGTGTGCGCAACCACCACCCTGCACATGTTACATTTTATTGGTTGCAAAATGACTTCTGTGTACTTTTGTGAGACAATTATCCCTTGACGCCTTTTTAGGTACGGTGAAGACTCCAAGACTCCAGGATGTATGCAATCCTGCCTTCAGGTCATTTACTGCCAGTCCAATTTGGTTTCCTATATCCTACATCCTAGAACGAGCACACAACAGAAGCTCTTTGAGTCGGGTATTTCTAGGGCCAAGATGTCCCTTAGTGTCCATGTGACACTGCCTCTTTCTCTCTTCTCTCCCCTCCCACCTCTCTGTCTTCCCTTTCCTTCCCTCCCCACCCCTCACCTCCTCTCCTTTCCCTGCCTCATCTTTCCTCTCTCCTTCCCTTTTCAGCCCCCTCCCCCTTATCTTGGGCTGGCTGCTGCTGCTGCTTCTTCTTTCTTACTTTTTTTTGTTGTGATATCTTGCTTGTATAAATAAAGCCTGTCCGAGGGTCAGAGAGAAGGAGGAAGCTACAGCACACCTTACCTCCTTAGCATCTCAGCAGACAAGAGAGTGATTTCCTATTTCTCCCACCTTATATCCTGTTTCTGCCCAGCCCTCACTTCTTGTCTGTCTGTACAGACTCCAGACCTCTATGATTAGCTAGAGGCAAGCTCCAACCCTCGGACAAGCTTTATTTGTACAAGCAATGTCTTCTTCTTCTTCTTCTTCTTCTTCTTCTTCTTCTTCTTCTTCTTCTTCTTCTTCTTCTTCTTCTTCTTCTTCTTCTTCCTCTTCCTCTCCTCCTCTTCCTCCTCATTTCTTCCTCTTCCTTCTTTCTCTGCCTCCTTCTCTTTCTTCTTGTTTTTTTCCAGACAGGGTTTCTTTGTGTAGTAGTCCTGGCTGTCCTGGAACTCACTTTTTATACTACTTTGGCCTTGACTCAAGAGACCTGCCTCCCTTTACTTCTGCTTCTGCATCCCAGAGTTCTGGGGTAAAAGGCATAGCCGGGCTCATCACCCACTCTTCAAGGTGATCCCCTAATTGCAGTGTCTTTCCCATTAATCTTCAGCCCCCACAGCTAGGGAGATTGATGTTCTCTGAGGATCTAGTTATGTTTGGTAGACAGAGAATACAATCACCAAAGCTCAGTTCTTTCAACAGATGCTTTATTAGAGGGTACAGTGTGTAGTGAACACAACTAGGCAGGCAGGCATGGGTGGTGTAGGCGGTAACTGAGGTGACAAGTCTAACAGTAAATGCCTCTGTACTGCTTAGTGTATGGAATCTTGGAGAAGCAGATGGCGGCCTGTTGGTCACAGTTGCAGATGAAGGCCTCACAAAGCTTGTTTTTGTCTGCAGAGAAACAAGAAAAGAAGTTGACTACTTTGTTCCCTGAAATTTGTAGCCTAGAGAAACCGGTGGCCCTTCCATCTGTGCAGACTCAGGGTTGGGAGACACAGCACACAAAAGTGTATGGGTTTGCCCAAATTGCTGGAACAAACTTACAATTAAAAATTCATTGTGGGGCTGCAGAGATGGCACAGTTGGTAAAGTTGTTGCCATACAAGCATGAGGGCCTGACCTAGGATGCTCAGAGACCATGTGAAAAACAAGGTGGGCTTGGTGGCTTGGTGTATCTGTAAGTCTGTTGGCTTGGTGTATCTGTAAGTCTGTTGGGAAATGGGGAGTATAGATCCCCACAACTTGTTTGTCAGTCAGGCTAGCAACTCTTCAAGGTGCACCCACTCTTCAAGGTGATCCCCTAATGGCAATGTCTTTCCCATTAATCTTCAGCCCCCACAGCTAGGGAGATTGATGTTCTCTGAGGATCTAGTTATGTTTGGTAGACAGAGAATACAATCACCAAAGCTCAGTTCTTTCAACAGATGCTTTATTAGAGGGTACAGTGTGTAGTGAACACAACTAGGCAGGCAGGCATGGGTGGTGTAGGCGGTAACTGAGGTGACAAGTCTAACAGTAAATGCCTCTGTACTGCTTAGTGTATGGAATCTTGGAGAAGCAGATGGCGGCCTGTTGGTCACAGTTGCAGATGAAGGCCTCACAAAGCTTGTTTTTGTCTGCAGAGAAACAAGAAAAGAAGTTGACTACTTTGTTCCCTGAAATTTGTAGCCTAGAGAAACCGGTGGCCCTTCCATCTGTGCAGACTCAGGGTTGGGAGACACAGCACACAAAAGTGTATGGGTTTGCCCAAATTGCTGGAACAAACTTACAATTAAAAATTCATTGTGGGGCTGCAGAGATGGCACAGTTGGTAAAGTTGTTGCCATACAAGCATGAGGGCCTGACCTAGGATGCTCAGAGACCATGTGAAAAACAAGGTGGGCTTGGTGGCTTGGTGTATCTGTAAGTCTGTTGGCTTGGTGTATCTGTAAGTCTGTTGGCTTGGTGTATCTGTAAGTCTGTTGGCTTGGTGTATCTGTAAGTCTGTTGGCTTGGTGTATCTGTAAGTCTGTTGGCTTGGTGTATCTGTAAGTCTGTTGGCTTGGTGTATCTGTAAGTCTGTTGGGAAATGGGGAGTATAGATCCCCACAACTTGTTTGTCAGTCAGGCTAGCAACTCTTCAAGGTGCACCCACTCTTCAAGGTGATCCCCTAATGGCAATGTCTTTCCCATTAATCTTCAGCCCCCACAGCTAGGGAGATTGATGTTCTCTGAGGATCTAGTTATGTTTGGTAGACAGAGAATACAATCTCCAAAGCTCAGTTCTTTCAACAGATGCTTTATTAGAGGGTACAGTGTGTAGTGTCTTGCTTAGTGAGAGACCCAGCCTCTAAAAACCTGGTAGAGAGTGACCGAAAAAGATGCAGGATGCCGACTCATTCCTATACATAAAAATATAAACAGGGATATTTAATCCTGAAACCAGGAAAACTACAAATATCAACCACCACTTCTAAAATTATATGATTTAAGATAATCCTCCTGCCTCTACCTCCCAAGTTCTGGGATTGCAGGTGTGCACCACCACACTCAATGTATGGGTTCTGGAGGTGGAACCCAGGGCACTGTGCACACTAGGCAAGCACTCTAGCAACTGAGTTGTATTACCAGTTCTCTGAATCCTTACATGTAAAATGGGAATGATAAATCTTGCCCTGCATAGGTGTTTAGTCCAGTGCTTGGCTTATAGTCAATGATGCAACTTTGTATTGTGTAGTATATAAAAATCAGTATAACATAGCAGCTAATAGGAGAGGCTTTGGTCAGGCAAGATGGCTCAGGGAATAAAGGCACTTGGTGCCAAGTCTGAAGCCGAGTTCCATCCCCAGGACTCACATGGTCAAAGGAGAGAGCAGACATGTTGTCCTCAGATCTCTGCACCTGTGATGTGGCACAGGCATAACTCCCCCACAAACATATAAAATCTTTAAATGAGTTTAAAAACACATTGGACTGATGTAGAACAGTGTTCTAGAACCAAATGCTATCATTTCTAAGCTGGATGACCCTGGGCAAGTGGCCCAGCCTTCCTCATCCTCCTCATCTGAGATATCACCTGTATTTAGTATCTACCTGATAAGGTTGTTTGAGTTCAAATGGGACCAAGGAAAAGACCACTAAATGGTGACTGTGCTTGTTACTTCTGTGACCCTTACAAACAAGCCTAGGGACAAGCAGAGTCCAGAGGTTCCAGCGGGTAAACTTACCACTGCAGGTGATCTCAGTCCCAGAGCAGGAGTATGAGTAGGAGCTGGTGTAGGGGTTTCTTATGAGCAATGCACAGTTTCCCAGATAATCGACCTGAGCGTAGCAGTTGTCCCGAGCCCTGCAGCACCTGGAGAGAGGGAGGAACAGCAGAGGGAGGAGTATGGACTCACAGGAGGTCAGTTCTCACCTGCCATCTCTCTTAAACATATCAGGAAGATTTAAACATGATGTTCTAGCAGAAATGGTTCTGAGGCTTGAGAATCTCTAATTTTTTTTTTTTTTTCTAGACAGGGTTTCCCTGCACAGCTTTGGAGCCTGTCCTGGAAGTAGCTTTTGTAGACCAGGCTGATCCCGAACTCACAGAGGTCCGCCTGCCTCTGCCTCCTGAGTGGTGGGATCAAAGGTGTGTTCCACCACTCCCCAGTGAATCTCTAATTTTTACTAAGCATATATTTATTGAAATTAACTTCTGTGGAGTGTGGTAGGTGCTGGCCTTTAATCCCAGTTCTGGGGAAGCAGAGGCAGACGGATCTCTGAATTTGAGATCAGCCATGGATGCATAAGTGAGATTCTGTCTTAAAAAATGATTTTTTAAAAAACAAAGCTGTGGATGGGGTGGGGGGATAGGCTGGGGGTGGGGGAGGAGGGATGGGGTGGGAGGAGGGAGACGGAGAAGGGACTTACATGTGAAACAAACTTGTTCCCTAACTGGAACTAATAAATAAATTAAAAACAAAAAACAAAAAACAAAAAACAAAGCTGTGCCCGGGATTCGGGATGCAGAGGCAGGCGGATCTCTGTGAGATCGAGGCCAGCCTGGACTCCAGAGAGAGTGCCAGGATAGACTCCAAAGCTAGACAGAGAAACCCTGTCTCGAAAAAAAAAACCCAAAGCTGCAGGAATATAGTGAAATTATGTATTTGAAAACTTCATTGACTTTTTAAAACCAAGGCTCACACTTTGATGGTGGCTGTGATGTTTCACCATGCTCTAGTCTGGCATTAGATGGCAGCATTGCCCAGTATTTACATCTCACACATTCTGCTTTCAGGGACCACTATATACAGGGTTCTCTTGGGCAATTTCTTTACAAGAGGGGAAAATACATGCTGGGTAGTGATGCACACTTTTAAATCTCAACACTTAGAAGGAAGAAACTGGAAGATGTCTGAGTTTAAGGCCAACAGGGTCTATAGAGGGAGTTCCATGATAACTAGGGCTGGAAATAAGCAAAAATAAATAGTAAATAAACAAGGCAAAATATATTATGTATGGTGGCTATGCCTATCATGCTTCATGAGATGCTCTGCTTGTGTTGTGTTCCTTCCCCAACCCAGAAACTCCAGTCTCCCATCAGATGGATCACTCACGGATCTAAGTCTTCCAGAAACGGGATCCAGCTGGACAAGCCACAGTAACAGCCATAGGCAGTGTACTCCTTTGTGGGAACAGGCAGAGGAAGGATACACTCAAATGCATTGCCAAACTGCCACACAGCCTGAAGACTGATGTTTTGTGCAATAGCTCTTGCTGCAAGAACAGATAGCACATTCCATCAATCCCACTTGGCTTTACTGGGGGTCTGATTCCTGCCTGCTAGCTTCCTCCTTGAGTTTCACCTGTTGCTGCATTGGAAGAGCAGTGAATAGAGGTGTGTGTGTGTGTGTGTGTGTGTGTGTGTGTGTGTGTGTGTGTGTGTGTGTGTGTGTGTGTGCGTGTGTGTGTGTGTTCATTCTCACACAAATTTGCAAGCACACACTTGTTAGCACTCATAAATGTCATGCTATAGATAAGGAGGTCAGAGGACAGCTTTAGGGAGTTGGTTTTCTCCCTCCATGATGTAGGTCTAGGAGGCCAAACTAAAGTTACCAGGCCTGAGCAGAAAGGTGTCTACCTATTTGAGACAGCGAGTTGCCCTGTAACCCAGGCTAGTCTCCAACTCTGGGGCAACCCTCTGTCCTCAGCCTCCTTAGTGGTAGGATTATAAATGAACACCACTCTATGGCACTGGGCTACCTCTCTGAGATTAAGTTCTATAAGAGTTGCCTTTTGTCTTGCTTGTCTTGTCATTTATAACTGTCAGTCAGACAGCTGCTACACTGTGAGCTGCCCTGTGGTCCCTGTGTTGAGGAGCTGAGAACACTCTCCAGTCAGCAGCCAAGGATGAACTGACCTTTTAGTTCAGTAACCCAACAACCCAACCATCTCTTGAGTGTGAAAGCTGCCCCACCCCTATTCAAGCCTAGGCGAAACCCTAGCCTTAGCCAGCAGTGGGATTCATCACAGTTCTAGCTGAGACCTTGAGCCAGAGAAGCAGCCACACAGCCTTGTTGTTTTACACTGGAGAATTAGAAGGAATCTGTTGTATGGCCACACAAGGCTCAATACAAGGCTAATGGTCAGTTCATCATGTGTAATGTCAGCATTTGATATAACAAACTGTTCATCAGCTGAGGAGTAGGTAAATAAGCCAGGATTCAGTCTGCAGTGGGATACTTGGCCACCATTAAAATGACCAGATACAGTGGATCACACAATGTGTAATCCCAGAGTTCTAGAGGCAGAGGCAAGAGGATCAGAAAATTCAAGGTTTTCAAGGGGTTGTATCTCAGGACTTTAATCCCAGCACTCTGGAGGCAGAGACAGGTAGATATCTGAGTTCATAAATATCCTGGTTTATAGAGTGAGTTCTAGGGCAGTCATGTCTACACAGAAAAGCCATGATTCAAATAACAAAAAAGAAGAACAAAAAAGAATTGCAGAAGTAAGTCAGGTATGTATGTAATCCTTACACTTGGAAGGTAGAGGTAAGAAGGTTCAAGTCTGGGCAATAATGTTGAGTTGGAGGAAATTCAAAGCTGCATAATTAAGTTAGTGATGATGACTGGAAAGATGGCTCTGCAGTCAGGAACACTTGCTGAGCTTGCACAGGACCCAGGCTGGGTTCCAGCATCCACATAGCAGCTCAAAACTGGCTTTGACCCCAGTTCTGTAGGATCAGACCCCTCTTCGGGCCTTTGTAGGCACTGCTCACACAGTTCACAGAGACACATGCAGGGGAAATCTCATACATATAAAATAAAAAATAATATTTTTAAAAGGGTAAGAAAATTCAAATTGCCAGGGCAGCTTAGAGCCAGGGAAATGGGTGTCAGGGCAATATGGCAGAGGCAGAGGGGCTTCTTTGCTTGTGTAGGTGAATGTAGTGGACTTTTAAAAAAATCTTTTTTTATTTAATTTAGACACAATCTTATTTTACATATCAATCCCTGTTCCCTCTCCCTCTCATCTGCCCATGACTCCCACATCTCACCCCACATCCACTCCCCAGGGAGGATGAGGTCTTCCATGGGGGATCAGTAGTGGACTTCTCCTCCTCCTCCTCTCCCTCCTCCTCCTCTCCCTCCTCCTCCTCCTCCTTTTTGAGACAGGGTTTCTCTGTGGTATTGGAGGCTGTCCTCAAATTCACAGAGATCCTCCTGCCTATGCCTCCTGAGTGCTGGGATTAAAGGTGTGCACCACCAATGCCCGGCAGTAGTGGACTTTTCTAAGGGGTCATCTGAGTTTAGACCTAGAGGCTAAAGATGCCAGCTGTTGTGGACATGGGGTGATCAGGGAACCCCAATCCAGAGGCTATTAGACCCCAATGGGAATCCCAAATCAGAACTTAACGAATGACCTCTGGGTGCTGTCAGACAAGGGAGATGGTAAGACACTCAGAGGGGACAAGGGTCCTACCTGTGAGCAGAGTGACTAGCAGAAGGAGTTTCATCTTGAGTGAGGGGAGGACTCAAGTGACTTCTCTCTGTATAGTCCTGTAGCTGTGCTCTGACAGTGTCCAGTCAGCACACGGGGCTGGTGACCACTGTGTGTGTAGCACAGAAGAAAATATGTCCACTCTCACAGACAGTTCCAATTGGCAGAGCTACTGTAGATGGTGGCAGAGCCTGAATCAATGCTGTCACAGAGGCAAAGAGAAAGGGCTAATTCAGCATCCCATACCATCTGGAAAGCAATTATGGTCAAAGCGCTAAGTTCCTCCTCCACGGATGCTTTGAGGTCATAAGAAGATATAGACAGTGCTCCTGGGGTTGGGTGTCAGGGATGCTGATAGTGACATGTGGTCCCAGGCAGGAGTATCCATCCCCAACAATCCTCCATGTTAACTATATAAACAAAGTGCTAAGTCTGTCCCAAGACCTGACACAGCCTAGAGGTAGATACAGTTACAAATTCAGTCTTTAATTAACTATTTAATTAATGTGTGTGTGAGTTAGAGATAGAGAAAGAGAGAAAGATAGAGAGGAGAGAGAGATAACAAGAGAGAGGAGAGAGAGAGATAGATAGATAGATAGATAGAGAGAGAGAGAGAGAGAGAGAGAGAGAGAGAGCACTTTTGTGCACATGTGGAGCCAGTTCTTTCCTTCTACCTTTAAATGGGTTTCAGCATTTGAACTCAGGTCTACAGACTTGCATCATAGGATGCATTTTTCTGTCCTACAAACTCCATTTAAAACCCAGGAATGTGGCTAGATGGTGGTGGTGCATGCCTTTAATGTCAGCACTCAGAAGGTAGAGAAAGGCAAATATCTGAGTTCAAGGCCCACCTGGTCTACAAGTGAGCTCTAGGACTATCAGCGAAATACAAAGAAACTTTGTCTCACAAACCCAGAAAACAAAATAAATAAAATAAAAACGAAAGAAAGAAAATGCCCAACAGCTGTGCACACAGGCCAATATGATACAGGCAATCCTTCAGCTGAGGCTCTCCCTCCCCAGTGTGTGAAGCTGACAATCAAACATTACAGGCACTGGAGAGATGGCTCAGCACTTAAGAGAACTTTCTGCTCTTGCTGAGGAATGGAGTTCAAGTCTCAGCAACCACATGGTGGCTGTTGAACAATGTCTGCTGGCCCAATGCCCTCTGACTTCTGTATTTGGTCGTCTCTCATGTACCCTCTCCTTTAGAACCCCAGCATCTCCTTTTCCCCACTGTTCACCTCTTCCCCGGATAAAAACCCTGTAGGGGTGAGTTGAGTTGGTTGTCTCCATGCTCATGCTCCCCATACCTTTCCACCGGGACTCCGGACGGCCGCTGTCAGGTATTAGCAGTCACTGAGTCTGTGCAGGGCGCTCTACCTCCAGCTGTTGCTCACCAGGCCTAATCTTGGGAGGGACGAGGCCTGGGCTTTGGAACCTGAGTGGGGATCCGGGTGGGGGTGGGAAGGCAGAGGACTGGGCAGCTGTTCAGTGAAGAAAAAGAGAGACTGAGAACCACATAGCCTTAAACCAGTCAATGAGACATCAAATTCTTAAATGCAGTTTATGAGGGAACCAGAGAATAACCCCGTTTTACCTGTTGGTTCCAGTGACAGGGAAAGGTAGAGAAGATTACGTGTTCTGTTTGGTTTGTTGCAAAAAGTTAGGCTGCTGTGTACTTTAGCGGGACAATTATCCTGTGTTCTGTGTTTAGGCACAGTGAAGACTCAAAGGCCACCAGGATGTAATCCTGCCTGCAGATGATTTACTGTCACTCCAGTTTCCTAGAATGAGCACACGGAAGAAAGGCTTTGAGGCCAGTATTTTTGGTGCCGAGATGTTCCTTCAGTGCCCATGTGACACTTCTTTCTCTCTTCTCTCCCCACCTACCTCTCTGTTTTCTGTTTCCTTCCCACCCCATCACTCCCCTATTTTCCTGTCTCTTTCTCTCATCTCTCCCCTCCCTCCCTTTCCCCTTTCTGTCTCTACCCCATATGTATCTCTGCTGACTGATTCTTCTTCAGGTTTTTTGTTTATGTTTTTTCTTTTGGTTTTCTTGGTAGTGTTTCTTTTGTAATATTCCTGGCTGTACTGGAACTCACTTTTTAGATCACATTGGCCTTGAACTCAAGAGATCTGGCTGACTTGCCCTCTTCCTCTCCACCCGGGTTTGCTGGGATGAAAGGCTTGGCCGGGTTCATTACCCACTCGTCAAGGAGCTCCCTTTATGGCACTGTCTTTCCCATTAATCTTCAGGCTGTAGGGCTAACTGAATATGTTCCCCGAGGATCTAGTTATGTTTGGTAGACAGAGAATACAATCACTGAAGCCGAATTCTTTCTATAGGTTCTTTATTAGAGGGCACAGTGTGTGGTGAACACAACCAGGCAGGCAGGGGTGGTGTAGGCAGTAACTGAGGTGACAAGTCTAACAGCTAATGCCTATGTACTGCTTGATGTACAGAGTCTTGAAGAAACAGATGGCTGCCTGTCGGTCACAGTTGCAGATGAAGGCCTTACAGGCATTGCTTTTGTCTGCAGAGAAGTAAGAAAGGAAGTAGAGAGGAGCCCATGACCCTGTTCCTTATGATTCATAACGAAAAGACATTGGTGGACCTCCCATAGTTGCAGAGTCAGGGTTAAGAGACAAAGCGCACAAAAGTGCATGGGGTTGCCCAAGTTGCTGCAACACACTTACAATTTAAATTTACTTGTTGTTGTGCTGGGGAGATGGTGTAGTTGGTAAAGCAGTTGCCATACAAGCATGAGGGC